TCAATATTATTTATACAACCGTTAACTGTTATGGTATGTTTATATTAACTGTTATGGTATGTTTATATCAAGTATTATGGAAATGATATATAGTGTAAAGGAAAATTTAAATAAAACAAATTAACTGTATAAGAGATATTAATATACTTATTAGACTAAAAAAATGAAAGCTATTACATAATGCACCAAGTTTATCTGTTCTGCAAAAGCAAATTTTCTTCAAATTCGAACAAATTTGAAGTCAGTATACCGTATATTTTTTAATGTAATCCTAGAGTGCACAACCAGAATGCGAACGGAATTCACATTCAAAACTAAATATTATTTCAATTTTAAGACACGAAATCATTATTTTTTCGAAGACCAAATACATTGTTCATTTGTAGTTGCATACTTGAAAAACACCTTCATAGTAGAGTTGATGCATTTAGCATCATTATGTATAATAAAACATATAATCATTCTCATTCAAAAATCCACATTGTCCAGGCTAATAATAAATTTCTAGTAACAGTAATAATATATATTATGATATCCATAAAGATATTCATAAAGATAATCAATATAAATATATCTTTATGAATATTTGCTATCAATAAAATAGCAAATATTCATAAAGATAATCAATTAGATATACAGTCAACTCCCAAATAATTGGGACCCTGTTAACTGGGTCTTTTCTTAAAAAAATTAAGTTTGTTTATTTCAGGAAAAAGGAAAAATTACTATCTGAAACCATAAAAATAAAAAGCAAAATTTCTATGGGAAACACAACAAGACGAAGAAAATGCATGAAGTAACAGCACTGATAGCAGATGATATCACTGTATTTAAGAGCTATTTTTATCTACGACAGTATGCAATTTAATTATATATAATCTGGAATATATGAGCATTGGGAAATCATCCATTAAAAATTAATTGCTAAATAGTAAGAAATAAACTAAGCATACAGATTATAATTTTTCTGTTTCTCATCGACTCCTATCAAAATACAAAAGTAATACAAATAAAGAACATAGTTTTTTCTGTTTTGAAATATACTTTAAAACAGAAAAAGTTTTCTGTTTTAAATGCTGATTTAATTTACATAATCAAATGAAATTATTCTCCAATTCCAGACAAGCATGTGCTTAAAATATAGATTTGACAATAAATCACTTAAGTGGCATAATTTGTTTGCATCTTTACAAAAAATGGAAAATTTTGAAAAAATTAATTTCATATACAAGATCATAAAACTGCATAAAAGTTACAAAAGATTAATACAAATTCACAGACGTGTAATTATTATCAGTTACACAGCACAAAACTTCAGAAAAACATTACACTGTAATTATGAATTCACTAAGTAACACAGCAAGTATTTGGAATAATTTGACTGAAAATTATTATGAAACCATGCCAAAGATTGGATGAACATGGCACTTACTTTAGAGAGGGGGAAGAAAATAGAGATAAAAAAAATTAAATGTAATAAATTATATAAAACAGGCACCGTTTAACGTGAATGCAGTTAATATTGTTATTCAGATACTGTTACCGAATTACCAAATTTAAATTGAAGTAAAATCATCAAACAAAAAATAAAATTGCCATATATTCCCAATATGTAGAAATTGGCAAATGATAAAGACATGTCAATAAGTAAGGGATTAAGTTACCAAACAGGTTTTTTAAGGCAACCAGGTACAAATGAACCATTTTCTGAGTTTTACGAAGATCAAGTGGACTAACCAGTTTAACAGCGCTGAATTCTAGATGACACTTTTCTTTTTCCAAAGTGAATATTTTACACTGCTTACCCATTCGTGATAAAAAAAGAAAAAATTCTGATTTACCTGCTACAGAAACATGATTGTCAAATGATGGCCTAAACTGTCTATAACTTAATATCCTGGAAACATTTATAATACTGACAAAACAGATATTATCATAGACTGCCCCCAAATTCCCTTTTGTTTTTAACAATGTTAAAAGATTGAAAAATATCAAAAGATCATGCAACCATTTTATGCTGCATCAATGTATGTGATAAAAGATTTGGTCAACAAATTGATAAGTTTCCAGAAGTATATTATTAACCTACGAAGGGGAAAAAATTATTTATAGTCACATACTGAAAATATGGATGAACTCTAGTAGTTTTGATATGGTAGAAAATAAAAAAAAATTATGTGAATGAAATAAAAACAATTAAAATAAATACATATTTTTCACGAAAAATCTTATCTCACTGTAGCTTTGTCGCTTAGCAGATGGTATAAAATTAAAACCCATGGTTATTTTCAAAAGAAAGATAATGCTGAAATGTAATTTCCCAAATGGCATTTTCAATCACGTTCATGAGAAAGACTGAATGGTCAAAAATGATATAAAATTGTGAATAAGAAATGTTCAGCAAAAGTGTCCTGTTAAAGAATCTAGAAAGTCTTTTAAATGGGACATGTTTAAATCCCATCCAGTGCTTAAATGGCGCCGGAGCCCACTGGAGCCTGGCTCCAGAACTTGTCAATTTTTAAGATAAATTACAATTTTAGCCAGAGTGCACCAGATCCCTAAATAAAATGAGCTCCAGTACTTCCTTTTATAAAACTGAACCACAATTTCAAGGAAAAAAAATTAGAATTCCTAACGTTTTAGTTTAACAATAAGCAGACCTTGCAATACTCTATTTCCCTAGAAATACGAACTCATGAGAACGTGAGACGTTCAAGTAAAGTCCCCTCACTCACATGCGGAAACCTTTCCCTTTAAGAAGGGCAATAAATTTGGGGGAGTTTGTTTAGCAATGCGTAAATTTCTCGCCATGCCATCGTATCTAGTGCATTGTTATCGATGCTTACAGTTAATTATCCTTGCAAGAAGGAAAAATTGTGTTTTTAAATGTGCTTTAATTGACAGCGAGTACAATAACAGGGAAATACTGAGATATTAAATATTGTTTAATTTTAAAATCATTAATGAGTTTAATAGTAATTTTATTTATCTATTTACTCTTGTTCCTCTTTGATGACTGCCTTCCATAAGGCTCTGGCACTTCTAATTTTAGAAATTAAGCCCTGACCCCATCTAATGCATCTAATGTTGGAAGAGTGTAATACAGACATGGCAGTTATTCCACGCAGATAAATGTATGTGTCAATAAATTATTCGGAGAAAATTTAAAATGACAGTGGAATATGAGGATGGTAGAAGGTAAAAAAAAAAAAAAAAAATACTGAATAAGACCAACTGCATCATGCCAGTCTAAATATAGTATGTGAATGGATAATAAAAGCTTGGAATGAAATTAAACCAGACATAATTCAAAAGTCATTTAAAAAATGTAGTATATCTAATAATCTACATGGAAAGGAAGATGATTATTTATTTAGAGATCAGAGAAACAATGATAGTGAAGGTGAAATGAAATTTCATGATGTACCTAAATATATAACGGAAGAGGAATATGACAAACTTTTCATATTATCCGATAATAAAAAAAAATTTCTAAGCTCATGGGGTACATCATTTCATTTAAATAAAATATAATAAAAATTTAAATAATTAGGTACATGTCGAAATCTAATTTCTGTATTTTCATTTTTTTCTTATTTTTAAATCTATCATTTTTATATTTGGCCTAAAACGTGCAGCTGTAAATTTCGATCTTATTTTTTGTATCAAAAGTGTGCATTATACGTAGGAATATATGGTAACTGGAAAAAGAAAACCCCTGATTCTTTAAATGAGTTAAGAGTGAAAACTATCCAGTGCATAACGTAAATGTTCCAATGTCTTGAAGTTATTTACCAGAAAATACCACAACTATATTTCAGCCATGTGTGATCAAGGAACAGTTCAAGCAATAAAAGAATATTATCACTATGAAATGAGTGTAAGAGTCCTTTATAACACAGATGATATGGATATTAAGTATAAATGAATTAGCAAGAAAAACTAGCTTTTTTGATCTGCTAAACAAATTTTGGAACCATGTATTTAGAAAAGACGACAAAGAACTATTTCAAGATTGCCAACTTTTTCATAAATGATGAAACACAAGTCAAAGAAGAAAAAAAAAAAAAATATGTCTGCAACAAAAATGGTGAGGAATTTACAGCTAGAATAGACATCAATGAAAAAATTCAGTCTGCAGTATTATTCGCAGAAGAAAATATCTGCCAGCTCCTTTCTAAAACAAACTGCAAGCACATCATATGATAAACTCTATGAAGAAGATAGTGAACTCAGTGAATTTTTTTCACATGCTGAGATAAGGGATGCATTACAGCATCGGTCAAAAAATTTCCAGAAACATTATGAATACAAAAAGTTCATAAATTAACTTTTGCATAATAATTGCATACAATAAATTATTAATGACCTTTTCTTATTTAAAATGCTGTGAAAACAAATACTAGTATATTTTTTAGTTATATTTATATTAAATTAGTTAAATTCCAATCATATTTTAAAGCATATTTTTCTCATCGTTTAATAATATCATCCAATCAGTTGAATCAAAACAGTCATGGATTTACATAATCACATTAACTGGCACCTACTACATTAATATGAAAATGAAAATAATATATACATGAAGGCCACAGTTTTATGATTTGCCTTGGATTTTGAAACCAATCAGTGTAGTTCTGACCAGGATTTCACTTGAATGATGCATTTCACTGATTAAATGTTCTATAAAATTCTTACTTTCTTTGTTTATAAAAATTGTAAACGAAGAAAAAACAAAAAGTGGAAAATTCACTAATTTGTTTGTTCTAACTAGAATTCAGAAAGAAGCATTTGAAGCAGTGAAATATTCAAATATGCCAAAGAACAAACTGAAAGATATATTTTCAGGGAACCTTTATCAAAAATATTATTAAAAAATAAATGTATTAAAATTAATTAAAATTATTCATTATTTTTTTAATTAAATCAAAGAAATTATTGAAAATTTTATTAATTATTTATTGCAAAAATTAAATTAAAGAGAAGTTTTATTTGTTAACTTTATTGCATATTTTACATGACAATTAAAAAGAATACAGAGATGAAACAGCCAGTTTCAAGATCTCCAAATAGATATCTTGTATTTCTCTCAAACTTTTCTAATAACATAATATTAGATTAAATGATATGAATTTCATCAGAATTTGATACAGAACCCCTTAATATAACACAGGAATAAAAAGAAAACCTTGGAAATGATAACTGAAATTTTATGCTTTAATTAATGTTAAAAATAACTGAGCTTTAAAAACTATATGGAAATTTCAGAGAAAAGCACAGTCAAATGGAATGCACATTAGCATGTTTACATACATCACTCAAAAAGTAAAATAAGAATTACTAAGTGTATTTATCCTTTTTGAATCACTCAATCTGTTAATCAATTACAGACTGATTAAATTTGAAAACTAAAGATCTTATGCTCTGCCAAGTGAAAACACTCTCGAGAATCTATTATTCAAAATAGCATAAAGAAGATAAAGGTCTTATATTTTACACAGTGGCAAGACTTGCTAAAGGATATTGATAAATTCCTTCAGTTCCTTAATTTTAAAGTATTTATTAAAGATATTAATTTTTCAGGCATGACTGTGACTTTACATGCATGACTAGCACATATGAAGTAAGTGAAAGAATAACATTTCTTTAATGAGGGAAAAATTATTAACTAAAAAATGACCAATGAATGACAATTATCAGTATCACTTTTATAAATGCAGAGTTATTTTTCATGTACAAACAGAAAAATTTTGTTAAGAAGAAATAACCATTATTGCTTGATATTAATTCTTTCATAAATTTATGGATAAGATATAAAATATGAAAAATGAAATATTTAAAACTGGTAAAATACATATATACTCATGCATATAGTAATATCCTTTTAAATTACTCAAACAAGAAACAATTTTTCACTTTCAGACACATAAAAATTATTATTTAAACTCTACTCAATGATAATTTACTGTAATTAATTTTTCAAATTTAGTGAATGGTAAATTATTTCTATAAAATTCAGGCAACAGCACTTTTAACAAAATATGTAAAATACCAGCAGTTAAACCCCATATACGAAATTCACTGCCCAAATATACAGGTAACGTAAAGCCACTTTTATACTGCGTATAACGCCAGTTTTCTGGATTGCACAGGGATTCAAAGCTCTGAGCAAAAACACATTCAACCTCATCTTGATTAATACGAAATTTTTCTAGGTTTACATCACCAATGAAGACAACTACAGGAGTAACTCGAATTCTTCCTTCCCTTGAAGGCACCGGTGGTAATGTGGTCCAAACTTGAATATTATCAGATGATATACCGATTTCTTCTTCGGCCTCACGCAAAGCAACATCGATAGCACTTTTGTCTGAAACTTCTTGCATGCCTCCTGGAAAACTCACATCCCCTTTATTTCGGCCTAATTTAACTGACCTCACAGTTAATAATACAGATGGTTTTCCTGACACTATACACAAAGGAACCATGACAGCAGCATCTCTAATATTCTTTTTCTTCATTAATTTTACATTTTTCATATTTTCAAAGTGTCTGATACATCTTTCTTTAGAGTAATCAGAAAACACATCATTAAATGTTATTTGTGAGAAGAAAGGCACCTGGCATATCGTATGTAGATGGTAAGTTCCAGTAGTAAGCATGTATGATAGAGCACCACCCTGAGAAAAAATTAGGAATACTACTTGTATCAGAACAAAGCACAGGATTTAAAAAAAAATATTAGGATATTTAAAATATACATACACAAATTATTAAAATCTGATAAAACTGTGCATCACATTGTAAAGATGAATCGCACAAGCTAATTAATAGGAATTCCATATTTTTTTAGCTTAATACAAAGAGCCTTTCCACATTAAAAAAGTAAACAGTTTTCTCTTAACTAAATATCAGATAATTTTCAGTATAATAACTTATAGCTATGAAATGTTAAAACTTGCTGCTGCTTTCCCAAGTTAAAACATTTTTACATCTGACCAAAACAAAATATTCCAGTGAATTAGTATAAAAAATTCAGATCAAAATGACGATTTCTATAAAAAGAAGTTTTCATTCCTAAATATATGTGTATAATCATTTAAAATCTACTTTCACAATATAGTTTTACTGCAATACATATTTCAATCTCTTCTCAATTTTAAAATTCAAAAATATAATTCTAAAAATTTTCTTTGAAAAATGCTTATTTAATAGTAAAAAAATCACAGCAAGTTAATTATTTGCTTTGCAAACTTCAGCAGAAGGTCAAAAATGGCTCCAAAAATTAATAAAAGGGAACAAGGAGAGTTCATGCCCATCTCTTTAAACTCAATAAATAAATAAAATAATAATGATCTATCACCAAACAAAACTGAATACATTAAAGCAATTGTCTATGTACTCATCTCCACCCTTGCAATACTGTTCTAAGAATAAAACATAAGTATATATGATATATAATTATTAAACATAAACTAATATTTAATGGAAACAAGTTTGAGAATAAACTCAACTCCATAGAAGTTTTCAAGTAATTAAATATTAACTTTAAAATAGTACTTATATTTTAACGCGACCACCTTGATACAATGTGGCAATTTTTTACAGATGAAAAGATAAAAATTACTTATTGAGTGCAAGTTGGTGGTTTTCGTGCCCTTTTTTTTAGAAAAATTCCCAAGCTATCAATATTTATCATAATTCAGTAAATATTACCAACATAAGAAAAGAAACCATACTTTGACAATTTAAATTATGAATATGAATTATTAAATAAAGATCAAGTGATAAATTAAAAAGTAAAACACATATCCTTCTTCAAATCTTTCTATAATTTTTTTGCACTATTCGTTTTCCAAAGAACACAGCAATATGTTTTCGCTTAAAAAAAACAACAAAGAGTTGCGGAGACTTGGCTTCATGCAACACTCAGAAATTATGGCTATCTAGGAAACTCATTTACTCATTGCTCTTTTGGAAAATTTTAATAAAAATTCAGTATTCCTGCAGAAATTTTACCACAGTATCTTCCATTGCTAGCAAATTCCATAATCTCATATTTTAAAACTAAGGCCAAAAAATATCATGATTTGTTTATAAAAACCAATGGAACTTAAAATGCAAAAAAACAAAAAAAAAAAAAAAAGAACACACATGAAAATGGTGTTGCTTGACTAAAGGATTGCGGTTACTGCACTGCTGCCAAAGTTTGCCACATCATGAAAATTTAGCGACTTCTACTAGTGTTTGCATTATATACAAGTACCTTACAAATATAATTTCTTCAAAAACTTATAATATTCACATATACCGTCTTTTTCCAAAAATAAGACACTGTCTTACTTTCTTTTTTGGTCCAAAATACGCGTTAGGGCTTATTTTCGGGAAAGGGCAAAAATTAAAGTATATTTATATATTTTTATTTAATATTTATTTTACACAGAATACTGAAATTTAAATTTATTCAGTTACAGTCATGTCATCTTCTTCTGGAACATTGTCATAAATAAAATTCTGAATTATATTCTGATTTTTTTCCAAATCCATTTCCTGTTGAATCATTGGTCCGAATCTTGCAATATAGCTATCGTTAAATGAATATTTCTTGTCTAAGTAGCCTGTTCGTAGTGCATTGGAAACATCACTATCAGTTATTTTGTCCCCTGAATTTTTTACCCAGTTCACAACTTCTTGTAAGCCTGATTTTACAAAATTACCTCGATGATTTCTCACCATTCTGTTTTCAATATATTCATTGATTTTCATCCGCAAATGATCCTTGAATGGCTTGTTTATTGCAATGTCAAGTGTCTAGAGGTAACCAGTCATTCCTGACGGAATATTATTTATTTTTACTCATCAATCACCCCTTTTGATTTTCGACTCATTCTGTGGGGGTTGGAAAAAGGTCGCTGCGTCGTATGTGTCTCGGGGGTTACGGTTCAGCCCAAATTTCACCCCGACAAGAGTCTGCCGACGCTAACGGATGATGATGCCTTTCCTGTGAACGTATCTCTCTCAGGGCAAACAATGAACTGGTTAAGATAAATTCCAAGAATTAATTTGAAACGAACTGTAGAGGTAAACAATTAATTTCTCGGAATATTTTGTTTCAAACATTTCTCTGAAATACGGTATTAGGAAAGCTAAACATATATTACTTATACTTAATAAATCAACAGCATTTTTAACGAATTCTTTTTGTCACATTTTTAACTAGGGATTATTTTCGGGGGATTGGTCTTATTTTACAAAAAGTTCCGAAAAATCACGATAGGGCTTATTTTCGAAGGATGTCTTATTTTACAAAAAGTTCCAAAAATCACGATAGGGCTTATTTTCGGAAGATGTCTTATTTTCAGAAAAAGACGGTATTTTGAAGAAAATTTGCAAGGTCACTATTAAAAACTTTTCTTATTAAAATTATTCATTAAAATTACTATTATGTCACTAAATAAAAATATTCATTAAAATTACTATTATGTCACTAAAATAACAATCTCATGGAAATCTGTAGTTTAAATTAATATCTAATTACACATAAACAGTAGACTCCCATTTAACCAGGGAAATTCAGGAGACAAGATACATGATTGATTAAACAGGTGGGGGGACATACGAAACAGAAATAACTTGCATTTTAATTTTAAGCTATACTATTAACCATTTACCTGCATTTTTAAGCAGTTTAATTTGACAAATAAATTTGTTATGTAAATTAAATCAACATTCAAAACAAGAAAAGGCTATAAAACAGAAATCCCCCCATTATTCTTGTGTTTCAACAGAAGTCACTGGAAAGCACACTGGCAGTGGTATACTTAATTTATTTTTATGATTTAGCAATTTAATGTCAATAGATTAAAATTACAAGTAACTATAGATAAAAAAATTTCCTAAATACTGTGATATCTGCTAAAATTGATATTATAGCTCACTTTTTTTTTTCATTTCCTGTAGAAATTTTGCTTTATTCCAAAGGTATGCAATAGTAATTTTTGATACGCAAATTTAACCTTTTTTTCAGATGGGCCTGGTTAATCCTCTATATATATCTGCCCTCAGTTAACCAGAAGGTGAATGTAATTATTTATTCTCCTGGTTGGAAAAAGATTTAAAACAATTATACATTAAGATGTGCTAAATACTCACAACATTACAAAATTACTTGTGTCTTTTTAATGCAACGTTTTCCCAGATTTTTAATTATTTCGTTCTCTTTAACTACCTTTTGAGCGTTTCATTATGGATGATTTTTGAGTTTTTAATTTATTAACTCATTGTTGTTTAATGTAATTTTCAATACAGCACCATTTTTTTAAAATGGCTACTGTTTTTCACACGTTAGCTTGGCAAAAAATTAGTCACTAATGATTACCAACTTTGTGGGAGGGTTAGGCAGATAATCTAGGAGTACTGCATTTTTCTTACATTTTTATGTAAAGCTATTGGAAGCTTTTTAAACTCTAATGTATATATCAGCTACTTTTCTGCTGCAAACAACCCATAATAATTAATTCTATTTTATGCCTTTCCGAAAAGCTGCCATAACCTTTGATGCCCGTCATAACATTATTATCTGTGTAGAAAGAAACATGATTTGATATAATAAATTTAAATTACCTAATTTATCAGTAATCATCACTGAAATTTTCTGACTAGTTGAGTCCCCCAAGAAATTTAGGAAGACACTAAATAGCACTTATTTCATCCTTTGCCTCATTAAAATAAGTTGCGACTATTGGATAGTACTTGCAATCATTTTTGCTGCTTTTATCCCTACACAATGCCTAGACAATAACTAGACTCTCTAACTTATCAGATGCTTTTGATCAGCATTTTCCATCTCACTAAGAATGGCAGATGTTTTCGTTCTAGCACATGAATATGTCTTTATAACATCCAAATCTTTATCTTTATAACATCTTCCTAAATATAAGACCAACGTAATCTGAAGCATTGAAGGCAATATGATGTTGAATTAAAAAGTTTGTTAACAAATATTCAGCCTGGATAGCATGAAAATCAAAATTAGCAGATTTTTTTTTTAAACTTTAAAACGATGCTAACTTATGATTTTTAGCCCATCTTCAACATCTGATTTACGTTTTTTGATTTTAAATGCTTCACAATATTATTTCTTCTACCATGAATTAATTATGTAATAAAATTGCATTTACATATGTTGCACGATGCAAAAATGCTTCTTTTTGTGATTCTTCAATACAAACAATATCAATAGCATTTTAGACCAACTTACATCCTGGAAAGTTGATATGCTAAATTACTAGGAATATTCTTTTTTCTTCTCCTTTTATCAGACCATGTGCAAGTAATATTTGACACTACCAGATATAGTTTGCAGTCACCATATAGATATCCAATTTGGCTAGACGAAATTTTGACAGACAGATTACAAAGAATCACCAAACATTAAAATCAGATACTTTAAACAAGAAAGTGGGAGATATATTCTTTGTTTTCATATACTTACTTTTATTAAATTAAAGACATCATAATAATGTTAATTTATTTGAAAGAAGTATGAAGAAGTTTGAAAATCATCAACTCAAATGTTGGAAAACTAAACCCACTTTAAAGTCGGTAAAATGGTCATGAATTGCCAAATCTAGTGATGTACAGTGTAAGAATGTGGAAATGATGAAATATTCCAACATTTCTTCCCCCTTCTCTAAAAAAGTGGATTTGTGCAATCACACAGTGAAGAACAGTCAAATTTAAGATTAATCTGTCACATCTAGTCTAAAATTATCAGAAATGAGACAACATCATTGTATATGCACAGAGATCTGCATTTGCATCCAGAAGTTTTGGATTATTATGAATGGTACTCTTCTGTTATTGAGACCAGGTTCAGAAATGTATGTATGTATGCCTGGATGTACGTACAAACATACATATACTTTTTAATGCGGTCCTGAAATGTGCAAAAGTGTATCTTATGAACAATTTAGGTACTTCAGATCTTTGATTATTAATGAACAACATTTGACAGGAAAGCAACTGAAGCTTAAGATATTTTTTCACTCTTCTAATATGCAGCTGTAAAACTTTTTTTTTGCTAACAATATGGTATATACATTAAATACTTTACATCATACAGCATACTCAAGCATAATACGGTATTTTAAGTACTGTACATAATACAATGAACTTCTGAATTTAAGTACTCCCTTTCATACCAATTCATCTAATAAATTGAGAGTTTATTATACCCATAAAAGAAAGAAATCACACATCCGCAAATATTTCAATTCTATTCCCATATTTAATATAAATAATATTTTGAATCTGAAAATATATTTGGCAACGATGGATATCATGAGACCAGCATATCCTGATTTAAATAAAACAATTCACTGTATTTTAAATAAATACTATAACATAATGCTGTATTTTAATTACATATTTCTAAATTCATTTCTTGTTTATTTTATTTTAGGTCAATGTCTGTTAAGCTCATGATTAAAACTATAAAATTTAATATTGTTTCAGAAGTATTAAAATTTTCATAAAGTACATAATATAAATTAAACATTTTGTCCATTATAGTTCTAAAATCAGAGATAGGTGCATGAAATGAAAAATAATAATAAGCTTTCTGGATAAAATATAAAATCATGAGCAGTAAAAACAATGCAGAGTACAGTTTTAAGCAATCGGTTCAGAAAACAAGGAAAGTGGTATACTTATTGACAACTGTATAAAATGCAAATGCTTGCATGAAACATTTTCATTTTAGTTTATTATCAAGAGAAAACTTTAACTGACATTGAAAAACTTTAATAATAATATTAAAATATATATATATATATTATAGTAAAATTTTATCACTTTTGACTGCAGATAGAAAGAGCCTCCTCTTGATTTATCGTTGACAGCAAAAAGATGTTCGTAGGATTTTAGAATTTCTTCAGGATTTAACTGTTGGACATTTAGGATATCTTTTGCTTCCTTAAAGAAAAAAAAATCTACTATGTAGAACGCTTCTAAAACTGAGTAGAATACATATTTAAATACAGTTAGAAATGAATTTAAATAGTTAGTATAATATTTGGCTTTGGAGCCTTTTAATTGTTTTTACTATCAAATAAAAACAGAATATTGCCAGCTGCTACAGCTACTATCGTGCATCTATTAGCAAGTTAATTTTATTTTGAAACATATATTTAAAATAAAATCAACTGCAAAATCAAGCTTTAAATATATGATTTGATGAATGAAATAATAAGGAAAATTCCTACGCTTAATGTTTAATTTCAAAATTTTCATAAGTAAAACTTTTACCATTTTACAAAACTAGAAAATGAAAAAATAACTTAGGACAGATTTACAAATTAAACACTAGAGCAGCGATTCTCAATCGGTGGTACACAAGAGAAGAATAGGTGGCACACAAAGAAAAAAAAAAGTATTTTTAAATATTAAATTCAAAAATTAAATACACCAACATCCTGTTTAAGTTTTTTCTCTAACACTCGTAAATTTATATGATCTGACCTTTGTTCAAGGTCAAATCATATAAACCATTTTCCGGGCTGTTATTACTCTATTTTCAATTAGAATCATTTTGTATGTCAATTTACTGTCTCCAACAGCAGGTATTTGCTTCTTGTTGCTTTGTATCCCTTACTTTTTTATGTGATTTGAGAAAATTGTTTGTTTTTGAAGAATTCATAATATATTGTGCATTTAAATATTTGTGAACAAATAATAAAATAAATCTAGATTTTCAAAATGGAAAAATGGTTAGGATTGACTAAGTGGAAAAGTGATGATTCACAGGTGATGGAATCCAGGAAATCTACTAGCACAAAGAATACTAGGGGGGGGGAATTGTTTACAGAAAAATCTAGTGAAAGTTATTTATCATTTGAGTTTACTTGGAATGGAGATGAAATGGACTATCAATCTCAATGTGTTGTTTGTGAGGAACTGTTATCCAGTCAAAGTATTAAATTTTCATTTCTTAAAAGACATCTTGAATCTGAGCATTCCACTTTAAAAGATAAATCTGAAGAATATTTTAAAAGGAAATTATCAGAGTTCAAACATAGTAAACAACTAAGGAATGGTAAAAGTGACTACTTCAAGTGAAAAAACTTTAGAAGCTAGTTACCTAGTAAACCTAAGAACTGACAAGACTAGGCAGGCTCACACTATTGAAGAAAAGCTTATATTACCAGCAGCTAAAGATATTGTTTTAACATTATTCAACAAAAAAGTGGCTTACGAACTTAATATTCTATCATCAAATAATACAGCAAGTTGACGAAATCATGAAATCGCAAATTCCATAAAAAAGAGACACTTTTTCAAAAAATAGAACATAATGAATTTTGCATCGCAACTGTATGAAAGTACTCATATAATGAACTTCGTTCAATTATTAGCTTACATATGTTTCGAAAAAGAAATACAAATTGTCAAAGAGTATTTATTTCATGAATCTCTTCATGATAGAGCAACTGCAAATGAAATTTTCAAAGTAATTGACAATTTTATTGATATTCCTTGGAATAAGTGAATTGCCATATGCAGTGACAGAGCTCGGGTTTTAACAGGAAAATATTCCAGTGTTATTTCTCAAATAAAGATAGTGACATCTGAAACTAAATTTACTCACTGCTCCATTCATCATGAAAGTTTAGTAGCCAAACCAATCACCAAACAATCTGAAAATTGTTTTGAATCAAGCTATGAAAATTGTTAAATTTTATTACAAGCCAAGCTTTAAATTCAAGAATATTTAAGATTTTATGCCAAGAGGGCAGTGAACATGAAATGCTTTCGTTACATTCCAAAGTAAGAGTGATTATCATCAGCCAAAGTCTTAAACCATCTTTTTGAACTATGATCCTAAATTCAAATTTTCCTCTGTGATTCAATTTTTTAAATTGCAAAAATTATTTATTTAGTGAATTATGGTTGCCCTGTTTAGCATATTTAGCTCATATTTTTGGAAAGTGATTTAAATTTAGGATTACAAGTACAAAGTGGTAATTTGTTTACCATTAGAGATAAATGCAATTATATAAAAAAAAACTCAAACTAATAATCAAGGACTTGGATACTAATATTTTAAGCATTTTACCACTTTTAGAAAGTTTTCTAACTACAAATAATTTTAAAATAAAAGAAAATTAGCATCCAACATTAAAAATCATTGTTTTTCATTGATAAATAATTTCAACACGTATTTTCCTGAGGATCATGAAAAAGAAAATTGGATTAGAAATTCATTTTGTTCAAATGTACCCGAAATTTTATATTGTGGAGGAAAAGAACAATTAATAGACATTTCCTGTGATTGAATTCCAATGAAGATTTCAAAAATAACACATTTGTTCACGTTTTGCTGAACCGGAAAAAAAAAAAAGAATTTAAAGACATTCCAAACAAAGGTATCGCATTTCTATTGCCTTTTTGCACAACCTACTTGTGTGAACAAGGAATTTCTTCCACGTTATATTTGAAAAATAAATACAAAATAAAATAAAAAGCAGATTCCAATTTTATGGTTAAAACTAAGTGAAATTACACCAGACATAAAAAAAAATTCATCTCTCTTTAAACAGGCCCAAATTTCACACTAAATTTTAGATTAAAGTATTATAACTTAAATTTTGATAGTTAAAATGGTAACCAATTTTTAATCTAATAGTTTTGATGTGTGCATGTTTAATACAAACAGCCAACAGACTATGCAAATGGCAAAAAAGTGTTCTTTAAATACTTCTTTTAAGAAATTGAAAAATAATCAATGTAAAATGTAGTGGTGTATTAAAGTTTTTAAATTTTTGTTTAGGTGGTATGCATTAGTCAAAAAGTTGAGAACCACTGCACAACAGAAAAAATTAGGAAAAATCAATGAGTAAATTAGTACTGAATGATGCCCATGTACCTGATATTTAAAATATGGAGGAAAATTATTTCTTTTTCGGTTTTGGATATAAAAAAATTAACAGTAATTTAATAAAAAAAAGGGCATTTTTATTATCTACCATGCTTATAAACTTACTACACAGTACAGAAACAGCACTTTTTTACAGCTGTCTTGAATCTTTTGAACAGACTAAAACAGCAAAATCCCATACTTTCATACATATAGCTGACAAAGAGAGAGAGAGAGAAAAAACTGAATCGAACTAGTTAAATAAGCAAAGCTGAGTGTGGGTATATTCCTGAAAAAATACATGTCTTTGAGAAGAAAAACTGGCTATATTTATATCATAGTTAAGAACAGTCATAAAAACCTTCATACAGCCAAACTATTTAGTTACTGCAAATGAAAGGTAAGCAGCTTCCAATGTTCTATAGTTCAGACAGAAAGACAAAACTCTGTATAATGTAGCGCATAGAACATGTTATTATCACTTGACTTATTACTGCTAATGTTTTTGGTTCATACAGCACTTTTAAAAAAATAAATTACGATCTACCATATTTATAATAATTGAGAAATTTTATGCAACCATCTTGGTGAAATTTGATGATTTTTAACAAAACAAGGAGTAAGTTACTTATATGGTGCAGGCTGCAAATTTACTGAGCCTCCCCTCTTTTCCTTTTTCCAAGGAAGATTCCCAAACAATTAATATTTATCATAAACTAGCAAACATCATCAACAATCAAAAGAAAATACAGTTTAGTATTTTAAAATACAAACTTTAATTATCAAATAAAGATTATATAAAACATTAAAAGAATAAAACACTTGCTCTACACATGAAATGAAATCCTTCTGCGATTTCTTTGTGCTGTTTTCCCCCATGTACAGAATGATCTTTTTTCACTTAAACGAAATCAGAGAATTGCATAAATATCGTATCGTGCACAACCTAGGCATTGTGTACTGGCTGTCTTTCAAACACATCTCACCACTGTCCCTTTAGCTATTTTATGGCAAAATGCTGTATTCCTGTAAAATGTTTACACAGTTTCTTCCACTGTAGTCAAATTCCAGAAGTGTGTGTTTGAAAATTAAGGGAAAAATAAAAATGGTTGAAATTTGAAATACATCAAAAGAACACAAATGGAAATGGTGCCATTGCTTCACTGAAGGATAAGCATGGTTGTCAGAGTATGGCACGTTCTGAAAATGTGACGCCTTTTTACTAAGGTGGTTGTGATACCATGTATCTATAATTTATCTGTGGATGTCAGACTAATAGTGTGTGTTCAAATTTTTTTATCATGCAAAGCTAATTTGGCTATACTTTTAAATCCACCATAAATATACTGCCAGAAGTGGAGTGGAAATAAATTCTTTAATAAAATAAATGAAGCCAGTTGAAAGTAACAAGTTTATATTTTTGGCCTTAAAAAGCAACAAGAATCATGTAATAAATGTTCCTTTATTTTATTTTATAAAAATATATGTTTAAAAATGTTAGATATGTATGCTTTTCCCTCTGCTAAATGTGTAATCTAAGAGGTTTTCCTCATTTCTATGCAATTTAAGAGGATTTTATGTACATTATGCAAGAATTTTATATCAATACTTAGTGAATTTTTTTTATTAATTGTTGGCAAAAATCTACCATATTTAATTACTTGAAATCATTACTTAATATATCGAGTATCAATTTTTAAAATATTTATATTTGAATTCTTGAAAATTTAAAGAAAAGCAGTTCTCTTCCAATTTAACTAAATTAAAGATTTACTTTTGCCTACTTTAAAAATATTTCATTGCATATGCAAAATATACTGAGTCATTTGGAATGGTCTGTAGTTTTTGATATTAAATACAAATGAAGTACATTAACATAAAATATTAATGATCCACATAAACACCATTTTGTTTTATGACTTTTTGCTGCATCTACAGAAGCTGAAAGATTCCTTTATTTTATTAAAATAGTCTTACGTTTATACATGAAGTTATCAAGGAGCTTTATGATCATCTCCAAAAAAGTGAACTGTAGGCCATTAAAAGAATTTAGAAGTGACCTAAAGAGATGAAAAATCTACAGAGGCTAGACCTAGTGAACATGGGATGACACAAAACAACCCTGCCCTAGTTTGACATTCAAATCTTTGTTTGATACTCTTCGAAATGTGGGCATTGCCATCATGAAAAACAACTCAACAACTGATCAGTTCAGTGATATGCTTCAATTTCTGCTTTCAAAACTGCCACTTAAAAAGAGAACTTTTCAAAATTTATTGTATAATGTAGTGCCAAAAATTCATGATCTACAATTCTTTTGTAGTCCCATCATATGGACAGCATTACTTTTTTGAGATGCAATTTCCCCTCTCGATGTTACCAAAGGAGAATCTTTTGGTTTATCCAAAGATCTTTTTCGTAAAGCATTATGGTATATACCTTGCCCTGCTCATTTCAGTAATAAGCCATTTAAAAAAAAATCTGATGTGTACACCACATGACTTCCTTGTATTGGAATATTAAATTATACGGATTTTTTCTTGCATTTCATTTAAACTTATTGGATTGAATTAAATCTACTTCGCCGACAGCGCATAAACCACAACAGAATAAATGCATTCTTTAAAATTCACTCTAGTATTTGTTTACCATAGCGACACTCTGGTGCTAGATTCACTTAACAGTATTAATAGTTATATAACAGTTAACTTATATAATAATTATATAATGGAAACTAAGTTAACTGTTACATAATCCAATAATTATATAACAGTTAACGTATATATTTCGTTTATATTATAACTCAACATGCACAAAATTTATATCATTTAAAGAACAGAAATATCTAATCGTTGCCACATGTTCTATTCAAATACTATAATAAAGCTAGAATGATGTATAAAAGAAATTAAGCAAACAAAACAAAAAAGGAACAGTTTTTCACAACGATTGAGTATTTCTCATTTAATTAATTCAGTTCTCACTTCACGAGAAGGCAAAAAATACATAAAAACTCAAATATCTATATTAAAAATTACAAAGTAAATCTCAAACACTTTTCCTCGAAAAAATTCCAGAAAGATTAGGCATGATTTAATTGGCAATAATAAATGAATGCGTTATCTTTGTTGTTGAGAAGCTAAGTTTCTCTAGATTGGCAACAAATCCACTAGTCTCCTGTTTCAAATGTAAACATCAATGGCCGCCATTAAAAACAGGCTTAGCGGCAATTAAAACTTTAAAATTGCTGATAATTCTAAAAATATTTGCACACAGATTTACTAAAGGCATAAAATCCTTAACCGAAGATAAAAAAAACAATTCAATCATTTTTAAAGCAAAAAATGTACAATTTACAACATATAAGAGTAAAGAAACTGAGATCACTGAGCCGGGTACAGAGTGGATATATATATATAAATATATTGTTTCATAAGAAAAATTGAATTTAATTAAATAAATACAAATTTAATTAAATAATTCTTTGCACCACTGCTGCAAGGAATGAAATTTAAATTTAAACAAATTTAAATTTTAAAGGGCCAACTCTTTTCAAAAGTCTCAATTATAGCCCGAATTGAGTGAAGATTTTAATCTTCTTCTAATTTTCCATACTTTAGCCAGTATGTAGTTAAGTTTTGATATACCAGTTGAAATCAAGTTAATTTAACTTTCAATATTTTCTTTCATTAAATTTAACTACTTTAAGGAATTTTTAGAAAATTTCTAGTTTCTTTTTTTTTTTTTTTTTTTTTTTTTTTTTTTTTTTTTTTTTTTATAAGGACTTTGTCTCAGAAAATTTTAGGACATTTTTTGACATTTTAAATTTTACTTTTAAACTTAAATTTTAAGCATTTAATTTTTACTTATTACGTTAATTATTGGCATTGCAATTTCAAATTTTTTTTCAACAGACCACACATTTCACATTACAAACAGTTTACATTTTAATCACATACCATTACTCTTTGTACTAAGCAAAACTACATCTCTTGATTAACTCCCTAAATAATTGATTGTTAAATTAAAACTGAATTGCATACTTTTAGGATTTTTAATTTTAATTTAATTTAATTTAATTTTTTCTAGATTTATTTATTTTTATTTTAATGTTTGCAAAAAAAATTTAATATAACAAAGATAGCAGCTTGGCACTCAACTTTACCTACATAAGCGCCATCTATATAATTCATTTGAAGAACACACTTACTTCTCTTTAAAAACATTTTGCAGACCACAACGCTCATATAGTAGGTAAGTTAGAATTAAAACTTACTATTTACTTGCTTTAAGTATTTTTTAAAAATTTTTTATGTAGTATTTAAATATTTTCTGGATATGTAATTATTTTTTAAGTATACATATTTTTTAAAATTGTGAAATAGTTCTTTTTGTTTCTTATTAGTTTTTATGTATTATGTCTAGTCTTTTTTAGTTTCTTTTATTGATATGCATATTCGTGTCGGGGAGGTTTCTGTAGACAAGGGATTCTAAAATACATTGTTTCTAAATTATTTTTTATAAAAAATTAATTTAAAAAAAAAGTTTAATTTAAAACTTGACTTTACTTGCTTGTTTTTTCAAAAGAATTCTTTAATTTTTTTCTTTTTTGAACTTTAATTCTAAATGCTAATTATAAAGTACCACTTTATTGGTATTCTTTTTTGGACATTCTTCACTCTTTACTTTTGGTTTTGACTTTTACCTTGCCAACATGAATGACGAAAAACCAAATTGAATGATTGGAGAGTTAGGTTGAGGCAATTCCCCTTGATAGTCGTCTCCTGCTGCTCAACAGTCATTCACTTATGCATTTAAAAAAAATTTTTTTGATTAATTTTAATTTGCTAAATTATGAATTTATTTCATGGATTGTTTGCACTTGATTTGCTATACTCTGAATTTAAATGATATTGTAGATTAGTTCGAGAATAAATCTTTTATATGTTTGCACATTTTTTTTAAAAATATTTTTTAAAAAATTTGGCTTTAATTTTGCTTTTTACTTTATAAAGGTTTGTAAAATTTAAAAAATTTGTTTAATATATATATATTTATATCCGTTTGGTGCGGTCGATTGCAACAAAAATACGCGTGACATTACGTATAGCAGTCCTAAATACAAAATTTAAACATTCTGAGGCTACTCGTTTTCGAGTTATGCAAATACGCCGTACGTACATACTTTCGTACAGATGCCAAAAAATCTTTCAGAATTATTTTAAAGCATTTTATCTTTTTTTTTGAAGGAAAAGAGCTTTATTCTGTTCTTACTACAGATATCACACAAAAACATCGTTAAATTGCATTCGATAGCGGTCAAAATGGATATTTTCGTTGAAATATGCTGCCTGAAACTTTTTGCGATTACAATACTTCCTTTTTACTTCGCACAAGGAAGTAAAAAAGAATAGCTCCTTTCTTTTTCAACACAGAATTACATGCCAAAAGCAAGCATGTTTTGCTCTGTGAAAGTACGAGATATCAACACATCATAGAAGCTAATGTATCAAATCTTCTTCAAATGATCATGTGTTGTTCTTTTTAGAATACTTATTCTATTTGATAGTTCCTGAACTGTATAATATAGATTTTCAGCTATTAGATCCTTTGCTTACAAGGATGTTTGTCCAGAGAAGACATCATCTTCAAGGCTGAAATTTCCACTCTTAAACAACCTTTGAGCTATGTCAGAAAAGCACTTTTTTCATATATAGCACACATTTTATGAGCAATCTAACTTGTTTAACAAATTTCCTTTTTTAAAATAAAAGAGCATAACATGATGAAATACTTTGAGAAAAAAATTATAACAGTTTGTTCTTAGTTATAGTATCAACTTCTCATCTCCAGTAATCAGCAATTAAAAAAAAAAAAAAGTTTTGTTTCCTTCTTTTCAGCAAAGAATTGCATACCCTAACTCAAGCAAGCATATTCTGCTCTGTTAAAGTATGGGGTGATCGGGTTGGTAGCACAGCTCCTTGTTTACAGAGGATAGGCATAATCTTCAAAGCTGAAATTTCCACACTTCTTCTCAAACCACCTCTGAACTGTGTCACCAGAAACAGCACTTTCTCTACATATAGCACAAATTTTACTATCAGTCTGACTAGCATTTTTCCGCTTTTTTTTTTTTTTTTTTTTTTTTTAATAAAAGAGCATAATATGATGAAAATTAACATTTGGATTCTTATAAGGAGTGAATGAGATAGGAGCAGATATTTAAATAGCCTTCCCTGCTTATGCTCAGATGTTGTGATATATCTTCTCATCACTCCTTATTATTAATATACATATACTTAGTATAATTATATTAATATATACTAAGTATATATATACTAAGCTATTAGCTTAAAAAACTAGAACTTTCCAGATGACCAATATATATGCAAAGGATTATTAAAATAAATGTACAAATTTTCTAACATGTATATCTGAAACACCATGAAAAAAAGAAAATAAACTTTTTTCATAATATTAAAGGTAAAAAATGTAATTAAAACTTTTTTTTTTTTTTTAAATGAAAAAGCATAGCAAAAAGGAGTCTTTACCTGTAGTGTCATGCCAAGCTTTACATTTGTTTCAGCTGTAGCTTTGTTACCTCCCCCTCTTTGAGCAGCTGCTCTTGTTGCTTTAAAATAAAATTTGTCAGAATTAGTTTGTAGTGTTTTTTAAACTATATTTAATAATGAGTTCAAATACTGCTTAAAAAAATAAAAATATAACAGAAATTACTAAACACTATTAAGTGATTCAGAGATCCATTACTTAGTGTGCAGTATGCGCATATACAATCATATACAATAAGAATTATAATTCATGGTTCCATACTAATATATAAGTACCTAATTTATCAATCAATTAGTGTAATTCTAAAATGAAACTAATTATAAGCTTTATTAAACAATTAAATCATCAAACATATTAAAAATCAATTGTTTAAACTTTATTTAAAGCCTAAAACTTCAACTACCTTTTCACCCTAAACACAATTAAGTATAAATATTTATAACTTGCTGTGCTATTCTAACAGCTGAAGACTGCTTCATTAAGAATTCAAATCTTAATTTTCTGTCAAAATTAGTAGCAAATAAAAATTTCTTAAGCAAGCTCAGGGTGATTAAAACCTGTAACAAGTTCTTTAGCAGTCTGCTTCTCAAGCTATTATTACGATGGCAAATGCAAAATGGAACACACATTTTTTTTTTTTTTTTTTTTTTTTTTTATCTTTTTATTTTCTTTATTTCTAGAACTATGTTTCAATCTGAATGGAAGATTTCTGTCCACAGCTATTTTGCTCAAGAGGGTAAAAACTGCCTTTGATGCTGTTATGTACAGGCCAACCAACTAAAATGAAGGAAAATGAGATTTAGCTACGTAAGTTACGTAAAATTCCTGAAAAAAAAAATTTCTAGAAATATGTTATATTCAATGAGATGCTACAAGAATTTTTTTTTTTTTTTTAACTCTGACAATAATTTAAATAGCTGGTCTATTATCATGCTAGAAATGAATATTTTAATCCTTGACCCTTTTTTCCTTAATGCACAGACTCTCAGTTTTTCGTAAGACATTAACTTTTTTCCCCCTACCTCAATAACTGCAAACAAGAATTTTACAATTCTTCAAAACCTGCTATGACGTTTACAAATTTTACTGATAACTTTAAGGTTAAGTCAATGAAACAACTTTGCATATTTGATATAAATTATCTACAGACTCCTGATAACCGACATCCACAGAACTAAGATTTAAAACAAATAGCTGGTTAACCCAGAAAAGCAAACAAAAAATATTTATATGTTGTCAGACAGAACAAAAAAATATGTATACTTGTTAAATATCTGTTTATTTAGTTAAAAAAAAGAACATTTCAAATTAATGCAAATTTTAAAAATACTAACAAAAATTATATGTATACAAAGTGACTATGACCCGAAAAGTAGAGTTAATAGCTACAGTCAAAAGTCTTTAATCCGGACGTCCATAATCCAGAATGATCTATAATCCGGACCTCAAAGCTACAAATTTTCTGCGCATGCATTTACGCATTTGCATAATACGTTTACGCATGCGCATTTAATGTATAACGGACGGTTTAAGCTAAGCTAAAATTATGTAATTATCTATTTCAGTTAATGTTGCAGATTGAGTTGTTCCTTAATTTTCTAATTGCATCCGGACCATAAAAAACTCTTGTAAGCCAAAAGGACTAAAAAAAAAGTTTACAGAAGGTATTGAGTATCAATATATCATTTAAATGCCAACATATATTATTTACCTTAATTAAATTGAATACTCATTAAATATATTGATGCAGTGAAATGCCCTCATATTGTCTTGTATTGAAGAACTAGCCGTTCCTTCGCCAATAAACTTTGCTGCCCTTGCGGATGAACAACATCGGGATTCAGAACTACAAACACTCTTGAAAAGCAAATCTTCCACCAATCTTAACTTGCAGCCTATGCAGTTGTCACCTGAAAAATCACTTTATTGTGATGTTCAGGATTCAAGATTTGGACCTTATGTTTCCACCGGGTTTCGCCATGCCATTTTGGTACTTACGTATTAACGCAACCATGCTAAAATTCGCATAAATCGCCAAATTCGGCGACCCTACTTACGGCAACCCTACATGTTATACGTAGTTTTGTAAAAAGGATTTATTTGTAAAAAGAAAAAATAACACTGGGCGTGTACTACCACAGCAATGGGTTTTTGCGGAATTTGCGAGAAAAGAAGAGATTTTTTGGTTACTGTACCTAACAGAAGCGCCGTTACCCTCCATGGGAAACAATTTGCGAAAATATCAGGAAAGAAGCATCATTATTCGGGATTGCTAGAAAGGTACAATACAAGTGAGTTCGAAATGCTGGATTTCTGCATGGAACTGTTAATCACAAATATAACTTTGTGGATCCCAACACGGGCGTTCACACACAACATGTAGCGCATGTGGGGCTCAGCCAAATGGCGCAACAAAAAAACAGAGAGGAAAAACCCTGTCATCATCTTGACTCATACCTTATTGAATTTATATGGCGGCAAGCTCAAGCTGTTAATGGCGAAGACGGTTTTCAATCAGTGCTAAAAGCAATAGCCAAAAGATTTCCGCCAAAAAAATAATTCTGCAACTTATTCAAATTCGAAACCAGAAGGGTTTGATTGCTATTTTATATTTTAAAACAAAATAATATAAAAAAACTGTATTAAAAATTATCTGCAATTAATAAATGTACATTTTCTTTCTATTCATACTTTTTTACTCAAACTTGCAAATCGCGCCAACCTGGTTGCGATAATACGTAAGTACCGCCATTTTTAGTCAGTTACATCGTCTGCCACATCCTGGCATCAAGGAAACTGATGCAGGAAAGTTTTGTATGACTTAGCATACATAGCCAACTGGACACGTTCGTGCTTGGAGTGCCAAAGATCTAAAATTGTCAGACACACCACCAGCCAACTTAAAAATTTTCATTTGCCCTCATCTGGCTTCAATCACGCGCACCACAACTTAGTTGGGCCATTGCCACCTTCTAATGGATATTCCTATATTCTTACTTGCATTGATCAATTTACTCGTGTGCACGAAGCCGTTCCTTTAGTAGATATTTCAGCTGATACAGTGGCAAAGGCATTTTACACTGTTTGGATTTCTCGCATTGGAATTCCGAAGCAGATTTCTACTGTTCAGGGGCGTCAGTTCGAGTCTCAACTCTTCACATCACTAAAGTTATTAAGTATTTGGGCACTTACAAAGTGAGAACCAGCTCCTACCATCCAAGTTCCAATGGAATTGTCGACAGATTTCATCAGCTCCTTAAAAGCAATCATTTCGATGCCTCACTGCATTACAGTGGACTGATATGTTACCTACTGTACTTCTAGGTCTTCGATCAGCGTTAAAAGAGGATCTGGATGCTTTTCTCTTCTGCAGAAATGGTATATGGTACTAATCTCCGTATGCCTGGGTGGGAGATTCTCGTACATTCAGTCAATCCATCTACCTGCAACGCAGATCCTGTTACATTTGTGCATCAGCTTAGAAACTGCATGTCAAAACTGCGGCCAGTGCCTGCCAGTGCTCGCTGCAAACAAACTGTATTCGTGCATAAAGAACTTAGAAACTCATCTAATGTTTTTCTCAGATGTGATGCTTTAAAGCCTTCTCTCGCACCACAATTTTCAGGGCCCCATCAAGTGCTAGCTCGAAACAGAAAAACATTTAAAATTTTGGTCAACAAAAAAGAAGTCGCTGTTAGTATCGGCCGTCTTAAGCCAGCATTTATCTGGATACCAGAAGCCATTGCAGTGAATGCGTCTTCACCATCACAAATTCCATCTCAAGATCCACATCTATCTCCAACGGACTTCAGTGCAAGCTGTTCCAAGTCTTCGACAGAAACCATGACTTCCGACTCATCAGATGCTACGAATTTGTAAGGTATTATTTACAACTAAATTTATAAATCAGAGTCATGATCTGTAATACATGCATATTCAGAAAGCAACAAAACTGGTATAAACTGTAAAATTAATATACAGTTAATTAACTTTAATTGTATATAAAATTAGTAAATGAAATTTCTTTACTGTCCTGATTATTTCACCAAAAGATTAAAATTAAATGTATGAATTAAAGTCATGATCTGGGATGTCTATGCCAACAGTGTGATATATGCATTTTCACAAAGAAACAGTGCAAAATTCCTAGGCCTAGTCCTGGCTATGATAACAGTTACAAGTGATAAAAGTATATCCTTACTGTTTTGTTTTATTTATTTCTCTTTATACATTTAAATAGCTTTTGGCAAATGCATAACATAAATTTTTTATAACAGGCTATAAAATTTTTAATAGTAGTGTCATTTTTATTTAAATTAGGATTAGTGCAACTTTCACTAATAGAAATCTTTCCATCAGCCTATATGAGTTACTATATCAAAGCTGACAGCATTTACTTCAGACATTTGTTAAATGACATTTGTAAAAAATACTAATGGTGTTCATGAAAAGAAACTAAAACTTTAAATTTTCACTATTCAGTGTGCAAAAATATTGTTCGGATACATCAAAACTTTCTTAATTTGTAAGTTTATGCAATACAATAAAGACAAAAAAATTACATTTGATACATACCAGCATACTCTTGTTGAAGAGCACGAGCAAATGCTCGACCAACTACCTGAGCACCCAGTACAATAACCTGAGCAATATATCTGGCCTGAAATAATAATAATAGTAATAATAATTGTTAAATTGCAAACACAAAAATTATAAAATGACCTGAAAATTATAAAATATTTTTAAATGTAGTTACTTAACATGGTTATTTTATAGCTGATGATCACAGGCCAAATAATATGTTCATAAACCACAAAACTCATTTATGTGGAATTTTATGCAATATCAGAAAAGACAAAGTGAAAAATACTGTGGTGTGAAATTTTTGAATTAGCTCAAATTTTTATTCAAAATTTTGAAATATATGATTTTTTATTTTCATACAGCTAACACTATTTAAACTTTTAACCTGCTAAGCCATATACAATAAAAGCTCATCTACAGAAAATGCCAAATGTGAGATACGTGAAAATTTTAGATAGTTTGAGTATAAAATATGGAATTTGTGTTAGAAAAGCCAAATGAATGGAAGAAATTTCTGGTCTAAAATTATGAAAACAATCATCTTATTTGTTAGCAGCTTGAATATTAAAAACCAACATTTAAAATTATACAAAATATCAAGGAAAAAAGGTGTATTTCACACATAAAAGCTGACATATTGCTAGGCTCTGAACATAAAAGCAATACATCTTATCTAATTATGAAATTACATCAAATATAAAAGTTGGCAGAGATGTTGCCAAACTTGTGCTAATCATTTTGGCAGAAGTTTAAAGGAGCAGATTACTCCAATTTTGTTAGATAATAAACAAATACAAATTATGAATGTAATGTATAAAAAACTTAAATGTATGATAATAATTTTTATGTTATATTGTCATTGTTTATCCATTTCAAATAAAGTCACATATCATGCCTTTATTCAATACCAGAATCCTTTAACTTCAAAAATACTTTACTGCATATTATCCCATTGAAGGGAGGTCCCAAATATTTAATTTACCCCCCCCCCTTTTTGCTTTTCCAAAACTCGAGGGAAAAAACAGAATTTATGTCCTTCTTTAGAAAAATTAAAGTAGCTTATCAAGAATTAATTAAGTTCACAAAAAGAAAAAAAAAAGAGGCAAAGTTCTTATGATTGTGGTGTGATAGTATAATGAACTCTAAAATGATATTACAAATCTTTCCTTTATTTATTTATTAATTTTTTTCTCTGAGAGGCAGATATTTTTAAAATTTCATTTAGCTAAATGCTTAATAGTTGGGCTTTTACTGTATATGGTCCCCAGATAACAAAAAAAAAAAAAAAAAAAAAAAATCATTTGTGAAGTTCATGTCAAATTAGAAAAAAACGTTATTTTCCTAAAGGCACATATATGTGGTTATCATATTTTTGAATTTAAACATATAGAAATATGACCTTATAAAAATCAAATTATTAATGAAGTACTAAATATTTTACAATGTTTATCGAGAACACACCACAAGAAATACTGCATATATCCTAAGAAAAAGATCAGATATATACTTTATATATTTAAGAGATAAATTAGCATCTAAAAATTAAAGATGGAAGATGACATTAAATAGAATAACCAACATTAAGTGTATTATTAGGGACAAATAACTCTGCAAGACAGATTAAATTATAGATATTTCTTGTAAATGTTCCAAAAAAAAATCTCTAATTATGCACTATCCCATCAACCATGAAACTATTCCCATGTAACGTGATTTAGTCCCAATTATGGATAAGTGCGACGCTGAAACACGCTTGCAACATCCCTTCTTTCTTTTAATGTAATCCAAATTCATTCTCAATAAGCCACCTTTTGTATTAATGAACAAGGTATAATCTAGTATTATTTTTTTCCCTTGCATTTTTGGTTGTATGATTCCAGGGCTTATCACATTTATGATAGCAATTTGAGTCCTTTACAGATGGTTGGCTCACCAGTGGCCAAGCGAAAACGTCGCTGAACACTGGTCGTTTGGTCCGAGGTTCGAATCCCCCGGACGGGCTGGCTGCATGGGTGTTTTCGTAGTTTTCTCCATGTGTAACATGTATACGAGCCAGTTTTCCTTAAAAAGTCCTCCATGAAGACATCCCTCCCTTAAGGCAGATAGCCCTCGAGTGCTTTGCCATAATCTAATAAAACAAACCTTTACAGATGGTTGAGAGAATTGACATCTCTTGAATAGGAAAATGAACAGTGGAAATAACAGATAAAACAGTAATAAACTGGAACAGTTGCCAGCAAGAAGTGTGTACTCATGCATTCTAAACACAACAGGGGGATACTCAGATAACCGGCACTTGGCGAACTTCCTAAAATCGCGTTCGGGAACTTGGGCGATGCGCACCATATAGTGGGAGGACAGTTTAGGTTGCCAACTTAGATCTTCACTACACTAGGGAGAAAGGGAAAAGGAAAGTTCTTTGTGCAATTACCATTTTATATGGTATAAAGATATATCTTCTACATAATAATTACACAAAAGATATTAGTTTGTACACTATTTTCCTTTAGTTATGAGCTCAAAGAATTTAAATATTTCAGTCTTATTGTTTTAAAGAAAAAAATTCAATATCATTCTCTCTAATAATAACCTCATAACCTCAATTTGGGGTTTATTGTTGTTACTGGAAAATTATAATTATCCAAATTTACATAAAAATAGTAAAGAAGAAATTTCATTACATGGATATCATAGGTGCTTAACTACCTGCCAAAATTTGAAACATCATCTTTCACAGTTACCGAATGCAATGACATTTTCCGATAATCATCGCGAATGAAACAGCATCAAAACAATGAATGATGCAAATAGATGACGCAATTCCATGACCTAAAAGACATAGACTTAAATAAAATACACTATAACATGACAGCAATCCCACTAACATTCGGTGTATATTATGAAGATGATAGTTTCTTAACATTAATTCTTTTAAAAGAGAAAAACAAGAACAGGGCACACGAATCAAATACTGGAAGCACTAAACGGATCTAAGATTACCAAACAAAAATCTATATATACACCAGTTAGAATATACACAAGAGAAATGAAACTAGTAATAAAAGAAATAAAACGATGCAAAACAGAATATTAAATGAATCTTGGCAACACACTTTAAAATACGAAATAATGCCCCAATTAAAATAATAACACTAACTTACCATTCCACCGACAAAAATTTCCAAATAACGCACAAAAATTAGAAAAGTACATTAAAGCGGTTCAGAAATCTTTATTTGCCCATTCCGTTTCATAAATCCATGTGATACATTAAAGAGCATGAAAATACAGACAATTCTTTGATACAGAAGACAGACAGACAAAGTTGTCTCGCACAAGCTAAGTCTTTTAGCTCGCTGGGTGATTTTGCACCGAATCCAAAAGCGACGTTACCAGTCGCAACTGTCGAGTAAAAAAAAAAAAATCTTCAAGGTTTGACTTTAAATTACGTCCAAAGGGACTTTTTTTAAACATTTTATCCGTTACCTTTATTTATTAAATATGACGTTCTTCGCACTTAAACTATAAAATACAGTTCAACAGTAATATCACAAAATAGTTTTAAACTGAGCATTATTAGAATTTCCGACACAGAGACTCACGTGCTGGAGATTTGTACCAATCTGTAGCAATTTTGCTTTTAAGCAAGAAGAAAGATGAGGACTTTGCGGAACGCCGTTTCCTCTAGTCCGTTAAGCTCGTTAGGTTAGAAGTTGGCGAGTAAACGACCGAACTTCGGAATTTTTAGATTGGAATTGTTTACTAATTATGCGGGAAGGAGGGATTGAATGTCCTCTTTATCGCAGAATTTGGCGATATAGTTCCTTAGATGATTGCATTTTTGACACTCATTCAATCTGTGCCCAAAATCATCTCGTACTTGGCAATTTACGCATAAAAAAAGGAGTACTTGAAAGTTTTAACTTGAATTTAAATTAGTTCGTACCCGCTGGAGATAAAAATGTTCTTTTTTTCTGTACAACGTTGCCATGGCTAGCTTTGAAAATCCTTGAGTTTGTTAATCAAAAATTCATTAAAGTTTTATAAAATATGAAATCGATAATAAAACAAATTTCAAATTTGGGCTTCCACATGCCCATATTCGTAGGAGAATTACGTCACTCAAAATTCGACGGCTCTATGTACCGTTGTTTTACCACAATGCGAGAAATATACGTACATTTATTCAGCTTTTTCATTATTTATTTTTTTCAAATATAATGCAGGACTCTCACATTTGGTGGCAACAGTTTGAAAAGCGAAACGGACATTTACAACGCAAATTTGCAAAACGAAAGCAATAGACCTTCAGGGACAAAGCCTCTTTGGACTAAAAAATTCTTGCATTTAATACAAAACTCAACAATTCAGTTTGAAAAAAATAATGTCCAGATTATATTAAAAATTAATTATGTGCGTCTGATGACTAGTACCAGCCATTGAAAAAAAAAGAAAAAAAAATGTACGTCAGTCACATATAGAAAATGAAAGAGAACTCGATATACCCACCACTACACTAGCAATGTCAGCATACATTGCTAGTGTACCAACACTACACTAGCAATGTATGCTGAAGATACATCGATCCTTGCTCAAAATGCATTTCTTAGCCCAGCCGTACATCTTCAAAATCACATACATTCACTAGAGATCTGGTTACTGAAACGGAATTCAGGTTAAAGTTGGGAAAACAATTGCCATAGTTGTTCTAAGAACAGAAAAGTTGGAACAAAAACTGCAGTTTTATGGAAACTCACTGCCCTGGACCAAGCAAGTCGCTTATCTTGGGGTGACCTGACAAATTCACTCACTTGGTTCCCACATATACACTATATTATTCAGAAGTTTCGGGTTCGATCCCTTAATTGTCTGAAAAGAGTTCTATCTCTAGATAATAAGTTATTTATAAATCCATCTGCGTCCCATGCCAAGACCAACTAGGTATTTAGTTGGCCTTGGCATGTATCTCAACTAGATACTTAGTTAGCCTTGCCCATGCTCTGTTACGCTGGTATAGTCTGGGCGTATTCATGCAAAACTCTACTTAAAAAAACTGCAAACGGCCCAGAATGTTGTTCTGCGGCAAATTCGAAACGCACCATACTGTATTAGAAGCAATGCACTTCATGCGAAATTAGACATAATTCCACTGAGAAGTTTTTATTACCACCTGGCTAGACAGTTTCACATTCGTTTACGTACAATAAGTAACTCTGAAATCAGAATTTAAAATTGAATACTAATAAAAAAGGGCCAATGCCAATGTCCATTCTCAATCCAAATGTAATCATAGAAGTCTGATTTTTTATATTTACTTTGTCATGTTATTCGGTATTCTTTTGTATTTATTTATGTATATTTTATATCTTGTGTGTATTGTATGTATTTGTTCATTACTTGAGACCTATTGATTCAAAATTACCTTGATAACATAGATTCAGTTAGACAGCTTTGAGGCTTGAATTTATAATGCGTGAATCCCTTTAAAATTTAAATTAAAAAAATAACTATATCTCAAATAAGTTACTTTCTAAAATATTTTGAAACTTTCAACCATGTTCGACTTGGGGTAAGGCCTAGGCACTCAGGTGTATCAAACACCCTTCCACAAGAAGAAATGAAAGAGAAGTCAAATGTAACATAATTATTAATGTTTGCTGATACTCAATATAAAATCTGTACAAAACTGAGGAGCCCTAAATACCCTAACACCTAATATAGTCCTCAATGATCGCTTACAAGTCAACTTGTTCTAGAGCAAGACTGATAAATTGCTCTAGGGCAGAGTTCCCAACCTTTTTGTTCCTAAGAGCACATTCTAGAATATCCGTTGGACGGCGGAAACTATTTACTCTTTCAAGGTGAATTTATAGTTGGATAGAGTTGTTGATCCATGCACATAAAGAAGCAATTTTGATCTTATTAAAAATGAGAAAACTTTTACATATAATTTTATTAAAAACTAAAACATTTTTATTATGATCGCACAGCGGCAGACACACGTTAAACGATCTGCGGGCGTCAGGGTGCCCACAGGCATAGGATTGGGAACTCTTGCTCTAAAGTACCACTTACATTTAAAAATAGGTCTGGGCAGTGCGGCTCTGGATATTTTGCCTCCCAGTGGAATCTGTGCGGGTTCTAAATTCTTCTGTTTGGTCCCTCTATAAATTCTAAAAATCTTTGGTGCTCCGAATTCTGTGGCTCAAAACCTTTCTTAAATTCTAAAAATTTTGTCCTTCCTAAATTTTGCTCCTCCATGCTTATCAAAATGTCAAAAATTCGGCGCCCGGGACGGCTGCAAAGGCTCTGGCGGCGGCCCTGGGTCTGGATCTTAAATAAAACATCTCACTTGCAAACAACAAATATATTTTTATAAACCAACTATAGACTATACAGTAATACTAATAGATGAAACAAGTTAATTTTCCGAAGCCTATATTTTTTATTCCAAAAACATTTTGTAGCATCAGCCATGATAATGGTAAAAATACTTTGATATGTGTTTAATCCGTGCGTTGTGCTACATTTAGGAAACCTCATATTAAATTATTTATCGCGCATGAAATAATGAAATTTGGTTTTATTTTTAAATTTTGATAGTTTCCTCCATGAAGTCTTGCGTTGCTCATAGTCGCACCCACCACTTTTAAAAAGAAAACGGAATAACTTTTCGTAAGTAATTACCACGAGCAAGGATTTCATTAGTGATATTTTGAAAACTTATGCTAATTATTAATATTTTACATCTTCCCTCCATTCTGAGTACTTTCTGATTATCTGCTTCCCGATTTAAACATTCAATAGAATTACTCCGTTTTCGTATATTTTAAAGAGTATACCATACATTTAATTTTAATTCGACTTGCAGACACGGGCGATGAAAGACGTGTGTGTAAGCTCTCCGACCAAGAGTTTGTTCGTTATGGCTAATATTTCGAATTGTGTTGGGCTTTGGAGTTTATTTTCGAGCAGTGTATTTTTCGACATGACGTCAAACGGGAATCTGGCTAGTGATTATGAAAATTATATTTCGGACTGTGATATTAATTATACTCTCACTGAAATGAATCAAGTTTTAACAGGTTTATAGAACAAGGAACTTATGAGCAAGTAGATTCTGTAAATGCCCTAGGTTTTCAGAGGAATCTTCGGGACCCTATCGATTATATTCGGAATGTAATTCATGACTTCCTAAAGAAAAACCCTCAAGAAGATGCGAACCAACATCAAGCGATATTGTATTTGCAGAATACGTCCATCCAAGATGCGATTAAAGTATTGTCAGGTAAGAGTGAAATTTTCAACGCATAATAATAAGTCAGTTTATGGCAGATTATGAACAGTTACAGCAAAAAACAAGAACAAAGAACACAGGATACAGCAACACAGTATAAAAAAGCTATAACAGAGTCCATTAATCTAACATATCTCTTGCCTCCCAGTTACTCTCACGCCAGTTCATCACCTCTCCAGAGCTGCAGAGAATGCATATCGGAGCAGGAACAATTTTGAATCTATGGAGATGATATCGCAGGCAGTCATGTCCGGTGGCAAGGCGGAATACAGGGACCGCTCTACGCCTTGGCCCATTACACAAATTCGAGATAGCGTTCTTCCAAGACTTATGAGAAACACGATGATAGAGATCTTCCTGGTACGTATTTTGAAGGAACTTTTAATAACATCCCTAACAGTATGGAAAGGCATAGGACGAAAAATATTCTGCACGATTAAAGCACCCTTTTTTGATAGGAAGTCGGCTTTCTCGTTACCTGGAACCCCATAGTGGGCAGGAACCCACTGGAGGACTATAGTTTTCACAAGTGATGCCAGGTTTTTTTAGACAATCCAATATATCAAGTTATATGGTATTTTTATCTGAACCGATAGCCAACAGAGCAGCTCTGGAATCACTGAGGATAACAGCTCTTGTGAATTTTTCCAAGTGGCATGGCAGCTGGTACAGAGCTGTGCGAATCGAAGAAATTTTACCGGTAAACGCAGTATCTCGGCCCTTAGGGATGTAGAAAAAGAAAATTTCGGATAAAACTCCGGCACCTGCATTAGGGCCATCAGATAGGAGGGATCCATCAGTAACGATCCGAAGTCAATCTGATTCAGGATAAAAAATGTTTAAGACTTTGAGAGCGAGGGGTTTTAAAAGGCTTCGGAAAAGGCAGCCATTGGAAATAATAAAAAAATAAGTCTAGAGTAGAAGATTCTGTGTTAATACTCTTAAAGATGGTGTTAAATGTGGTAAAAATTCTATTGTTTTTAATTCTGATGTTGTTGAAACATTTTAATGTTGTTAATAGTGTTGAA